GTGTGGCACGATGTCGTGGACATGCGAGGACAGGGTGCTAATGGGCCCGACACCGACGGTGTCCGCCGGGCACGCGGTGACAGCGACCCGGCGTGCGTAGCGTGTTCGAGCTGGGCACAGTGCTTGGGACTTGACATCCACTCAGGCTTTTCTAAGCACTCCCTACTACCCAAGGCTAACTTTTCCTAGTGTTCTTCTTTCCTTCCCTTCCTTGTCCACAATATGCGCCAACCTTTGTATGAAGTGAGATCGCAACATACATGCTTCCTCCGAAACACATCCTCTTGTTTACTTTGAGAGAACACTATTTTATCAACCCGTTGTGGATTTCCGTTCAAACACCCGATTTTTTGTATCAAAAGTGGTATGGCGATGTAACTTAGTAAAGGTACTTGGTCAACAGCCTCGATACCAGCGCGTGCCAAGCAGCGTCACCATGTGGCAGCTGTTCCACAGGGGCCCTCGGTTTCATCGTGGCACCATAAGCTATTAACCAGGCAACTACTACTAACTTACACACAATGAAGACGGTGGGGTCATAGACCACCAAATCAGAGGAGTATTCCAAGAGAAGATTCAAACAACATGGGTTCCTTTTGCAACAAGGGACAAGGACTTCAAATCCAATAATGGATTTGATTTAAAGAGATTCAAGTGTTTTGCTGGAACATCCATAATTAGTCGATACAGTGTCCTATGTTATCCAATCACGGCTGGTCTACTCGCATCTGAATGGTAACTTATCTTGTAACCCACTTACTATCGCCTTCGAAAACCTTAAGCACGTCTAACGCGACTTAAGGTAGATGGACGCAATAACATAGTGAAATAAATAAAATGCATATTCCGAACGTCCTTATGCTGGTACAACATACAGGCACTTACTCTCCCATTCTCGACACATTATTCACCTTTCCTACGATCGGACTACCTCAACAACTACGGACGAAATACAACAGAAAGATTACAATACCGGTGGACAACAACGAAAGACACTACTAACTACGGGTACATCATCCCAAGGCAACTAATCTACTTTAGACCACGCATCTTCATTCTCGGGCTTGGCGGATTCTTCTACTACCCTGGCTATGGATCTGCCTCCTCTCTTGGCACCTGGAGCATCCTAGAGAAGATCTCGGCTTCCTCGACTCGCCAAAGGCACTTCCTTAGCTCTGAGGCTTGCCGGTCATACTGCTCATCTAGAGCAAGCAGGTACGTGGTCAAGTGCACCGCGGTAGGACTATCTTCTTGCGCATCCCGCCCTTGCAAAGCCTCCATGCGAGCCCTCCATGCCCGTCGATTCTTTTCCAAAGGTGGAAAGAACCTCATGGGGGTACGGGCAATGGGCTCTTCATATATCTGGCAAAGGTACCGCAAGGCTTTGCGGGCCACAACCTGGTAGGTGTCGACAAAGCAAAACCCAGTTGCAGTCACATTCCAGGCTTCAGTGATGTCGGGGAACTCTTCACTCTTCCCAATGTAGACGGTAACTTCACACCGCTCAGAGCCATGCTTTTTATACTCACGGCCCTCATACCCGGGATGATCTTTGACTCCGAGCTTTTGTAGGGTGGCATATAGGATCTTGGGAAAACCCTCAGTGTTCAGACAGTAACTACTAACCCAGGCTCCTGCCATCGCTGGCGGTGGTTGCAAGGTAGGACTGAGCGAAAAGCTAGCTCAAAAGGAAAAGCTAGGTGATCTAAAGTGCACCTGTTGGTGGTACCAACAGCTAAGCCAGACCCTGCTTATAAAGGTTCCAGCATGAGATCACTATAAATGAATCGAACGATTTTTTCATGCGTTCGAGGCGAGTGATGTCCGAGGCCATTAATTACTAACACGGCTGCAAGACAAGGTTCCGACAAGAGCCTAGAAAAAAGAGTACAGGGATACGTGGGTCACGGCAGACGTGAACCACAGGCGATGCGAAGCAAAAAGCCATAGTTTAGCATTAACTCCAGAACAGGAACAAGTCAGGCGTGCACCATACGACACGCGTGACACCTATGGATGGCGTATCTATAAGCAATACGGGCACTACAATACACAAACAGGATATACATGAATGCACGTCCTATATGTCCTTCTACTGTTGCCAACATATCGGGCAACCATTCTTACATTTTTGGCACATCGATCTCTCCCTATAGCTAGTCGATACTATCGGACTATTCTCAAGGTCAGTGTACCTGCAGAGAACTTGATTAAGCCTACCTAAGTCAGCAGAGTGTCATCTATCCTAGATACATAACCATAGTAATAGGGCTACTTATATAACTTCACATGCTACGTCCAAACTTTTTGAAAAGAATTTGTTGTCAAGTTTTAGTTTAGAAATAGGTTCCGAAGCTTTATTTCCTCATTTATGCCGATGGTGCTGCGGGTAGTGTAGGGCACACGAGCGGTGCAAGGAAGGCAGCAGATCTTCGGCCATAGTCCGCAGCGATCGCCCTGATGTTTGCCATGGTGAGGTGGACACAGAGGTGCTAAGGGATGATGGGACGCTGCACGGCTGGGAAGTTGAACCTGCACTGGCTAGGGAGCCGTATTAATGGCGACCAACCCCAACCACCAACCACCTCAGGAGCAACATGCACGCAACCCAAGCCATCTCTTAGATGCATGGATGCATGTGTAAGTACAAATGTTCTTGCATGGTCGGTGAATTGTTTTTATCTGATGGTAAGGAGGAGTGGCATTAAATGTGTCCACCTGCCCGACTTGTTTTTATGTGATGGTACCATGGAGGGGAGGCATTAAATGTGTCCACCTGCTTTCGACCCACCCTACGTAGTTGAAGATGTCCAGTGCTTTCAAATTTACTAAGTGAATTTCTGGATAGTTTAGGGAGGCACCCGCCATCTTGTTCTATATACTTTGCACGTTCAGTCTATTGCACTCGTATAAATTCTACGGGGACCACCATTTATTGCTTCATCTTTACTGTGTTTTTTGGCGGGTCTTTACCGTGGTTTTAGTGGACTATAAAACTTTATTTGCGGACAATTTTGAGTGTTAACACTTAAGTACTCTCTCCGTCCTAAAATGAATATAATTCTCACTTTTCAATATGTCATACTATTTTAAATTTAATCATTAAGATAGAGGGTGTGGTTTTAAAGACGGTCCAGAGATAACGTGATGTGAACCTCAGGAATTGCCTTCTACTTTGTCAGGACCATACAAAAGCTTAAAGACATGGTCTACGCTTCCAAGGTGTTGAAAAAGTTAGTTCAAATTTGGTCACCTCCATTCTTTTTAGGTTCATACTTCGCTACTTGGGGTCAGGGAAGAGCTGTGCCACCGGTGCTCAGCTTCTCGCCATTAATGGTCTCACTGTTGCGCCATGGCTGCACAGGACGATGGGACGACGCTGCAAGTGGGCGGTGCGGTGTGTAGCGGGAGGGTGGATGCTCGGCATACATGGCCGGTGGCTCGTAGTGTGATGGTCGGCACGCATGCGAGTACGAACCGCGTGCATGCTGCTGAGGCCTTTGCTTGTGCCTACGTGCTAACTTTGCATGGTGCATGCAAACGAAGCGCAGGAATTTTAGAAATAGTTCACACAGACATCTGTGATCATTTTCCTGTGAAGAGTGTGGATGGTTATGATTCATTTATAACATTCTCATATGACTATTCTCGTTTTGGCTATATTTATCCAATTAAAGAAAGATCGGAAGCATTGGATAAATTTAAGATATTGAAGCCTGAAGTAGAAAATTAGCACAACTTAAAGATTAAGATAGTAAGGTCCGACCATGGGGGAGAGTACTACGGTTGACACACCCCATATGGCCATGTTCCTGGACCATTTGCAAGGTTCTTATAGGAAAATGGCATAGTAGCCCAGTATTCGACACCGGGCGAGCCTTAGCAGGATGGAGTAGCTGAAAGACGATAAGTTTATGGATGGAGGCGTTAAAAACCGCCATTCATATACTTAATCGAGTGCCAAGTAAGTCAGTGCCCAAAACACCATATGAGTTATGGACAGGAAAGGAACCCTCACTAAACTATTTACGTATGTGGGGTTGTCCAGCTGAGGCAAAGGTATTTAACCCAAACATAGGGAAGCTGAACTCCAAGACAGTCAGTTGCTATTTCATTGGCTATCCAAAAAAGTCAAAAGGCTATCACTTATATTGTTCTGACAGACAAACGAAGTTTGTAGAAACAATGCATGCTGTCTTCTTGGAGGATGATATGATCAGGGGGAGCATGGTAGCGTGAGAAATTAGTTTTGAAGAGAAGTGGGTATACGTGCCCACTCCTATGGTTCATCCCACAAAATACGCTTTAATGCTTGCCAGTGCAAATCTCGTGGGTGTTGCATGAACTGACACGCTAGGTTTACTACATATGAGATATCAGGTCTTGTAAAAGTTAAGTACTGTAGAGCACCGGCAATTTGTCGATAGGGGAATCGCTCTTTTCACTTCCGTTATGGCTGTTGGTGGCCTTTGAAGGGCTAGATGCCTTGTTTTACCGTCGAGACGTTCAACGAGCTTACAGCATGTCGATGCTCTCGATATGCGACTCATGGTGGCATCGAAAAATTATGAAGAGCTATCGTCTGGAAGGGGGTCGGCTTCAAGCTGCACATTGCTCTAACCACGGGCGACGAGGTCATCCGGGAGGACCATGATCTTGCAAGGACTGGATTGTAGTTTCATTTTTCTTGAGAGGGTCTTTGTAATATAGTTTTCCCAGTTTCTCAAAAAAAAGACCGAACTTTATGGACAACCACCACGAAACCGGGCAACAGAAAAAAATCAGATTCAACCGTCTGGCAGGACACCACATATATATACCACACTCCACATGCAAGACGAAACATCTGTTGCTGTGGAAGATTATAGGTGCAACAAACGAGTGAGAGAGACGAAACAAAGACAGATTGACAACACCGATAGCGCTGGTCCTCAGTTTATACACATCAAGGATGATGAAACACATCAAGGATGCAGGGTTCATCATGCTTCGTTAGGATCCTAGGTCCGTCGTAAGTAAGCCTCCATGGCCTGCAGGATGCTTGCCGTGTCAAACCTGAAGTTTCTGAAGCTGCGACCAGGGCGGTTGTCAACATGATGCGCCTGCACGTCAGATACTGCTTTAGCAATAGGGTTCTCCACTGGGGTACTGCCACTTGACGAATTCTTCGCCTTCCACATAGTACCTGTCGGACACCACATAATAACCAAATGAATGCCACGACTTTAGGGAGAAAACCTAGGCTAGTCTGAAGTAAGACGTCAACTGACTGACTTTTGACATCAAAACTAGGCGAATTTGTAGAAAGAACTATTATGAATAATTCAAAGTTTTTTTTCCATTTTGTAATCTTGGCCACAATGGGTAAGGGCCCGTTCGGTTGAGGCCATTCCTGGCCGGAACGTATCCCGGTGATGCATGACCGTATAAAATTCAATAGTATTCCTGGCCGGATCCGTTCCAGGCCTTGTGGAAGGGGAGCAGAAGAAACCTCTAGCAGATGTCTCTGGTTTCTGATGCAGTGGTGGAGGATGCGTGGCAATCCAAGCCTTAAGACCCCTGGAAAGAGAAGGCAGGAGACAACAATGTTTAAGCAACAATTTTACGCCTTGGAAAATTAGAAGTAGATCAAGCCACAAAATAAAAAAAAACACATTTTTGGTTTCCTTCTTTTTTGAGAACATCTATAATAATGGCAATGCCCCCATAACAGCATCTTCCCCCAACAAATAAAGTAGAACGTGGATCACGAGGTACTTACATCAAAAATGGAGCAACCATGTACAGCTTCATTCCATTCACTGCCCGAGATACTACGTCATCTAGCTGGTAAGAGTTCATCAATTATGTGCCATGAGATTTCCTAACAAATTTGCAGAGGAAGATAGCTCAGTGGATCATTTCGTACCTTTTTAAAAGGGAAAAGAAAACAACAGAAACAGAAAAGGTACAATGAAGGACAATCAGCCAAGGAGAGCAGCAATAAGCCTTGCAAAGTAAAGGTGCGTCACTGCCAATAAAAGCGATGGCGGTGGGCGGCGAGTTCGGGATCCTGGAGGGCCGGAGCTTCGTGCTGCTGCACCCGCTCGTCATGGGCGGGCTCTTCGCATACACGCTCTGGGCGGGCTACCTCGGCTGGCAGTGGCGCCGGGTGCGAACCATCCATGACGAGGTCAACGAGCTCAAGAAGCAGCTCAAGCCCACCGGCACTCCCTCCGCGGTCGGAGCCGGCGCAGACTCCTGCCCGCCTCCCGCTCCCAAATAGCCGATGGAGATCAAGATCGAGGAGCTCACCGAGGAGCGGAAGGCGCTGATCAAGGGGTTGTTCCGAGACCGGCATTTCAACGTGGGGTTCATCCTGCTCGGCCTCGGCGTGCTCGAGTCCGTCGGCGGCGCGCTCAACACTTGGTTCCGCACCGGCAAGTGTTCCCGAGCCCACACCTCTTCGCGGGCGCTGCCATCACCGTCCTGTGGGCGGCCGCGGCCGTGCTCGTCCCGGCGATGCAGAAGGGGGACGAGACCGCACGCAGCCTCCACATCGCGCTCAACGCCATCAACGTGCTGCTCTTCATCTGCCAGATCCCCACCGGACTCGAGATCGTCGGCAAGGTCTTTGAGTTCACCACCTGGCCATGAGTGAATCATCACCATGCCTCGCCGTGCGTGCGTGCGTGTCTCCAACGACCACCATATGCTTCCTTGCCATGCGCATCCTTCGTGCTCACCCCTCGCTCTGCATGTCTCTTCTCATCTCTTCCATCCCATTGCTAATTACTACTCGTATAGGTTGTTGATGACTTTTTGATAGCCACGCCGTGTGTTGAGTTCTTCAAATCAGTTCAGTCTCCATGTATTAGGTTGTTTCCTTGGCCTATCGAAGTCGATCCATGTTCGTTCTTTATACACTACATGAGTACTAAGAGCTCATTTTGCAGCACACAGTTCTTTAGTTTAGTTGAATCACCAAAATCTATGCAGTAATATATTGAGTTCTATGTTATGAATTGAAGGGCTCTGTTTCGAATTGTAAGTCATTTTAGCATTTCGAATTATGAATTTTTACTATATATCTGGCTACAATGTATATTAAAGTGTGTAACAAAAGCTACAGACAGAATTTTAATTTGGATCAGGGAATACAACACTGCTGTTGACCTGCTGTGCAGGAAACTAATTCATGGCAATGCCATTGTGGTTTGTACTCAAAACAGAAAAAACTAAAGAGAACTCTGGACTCTGAATTTGGCAAAAATTATATACTACCAACTCTATCAAACTAACTGGTATTGAGCTCTGAATTTGGCAAAAATCATTCAGAAGTTGGAATAAACGCTCGCAAGAACATGTGAAGATGTGATAATTATCCATCTGTTTCATCCCCTTTTGGCTGGTGCAGTCAGAAGTTGGAATAAACAGTTTGATTTCAAAAGCCAAAAGCTATATATCTGATTTAGAAGCTAAAGGCACACTTAGACCACTATTTGCTCGATTATGTAGGACATTACAAAACAGACTATTTAGCATTCCAAGAAGTCAACTTTTACAAGCAGCCTACATCATCAGTAGATGACCCGAAATCACATCAGCAAAGTCTTCTAGATTAATAATAAAATAAAAAAATGCAGCAGTGGAAAAGGTTAACATTTTTCACACGTTTCCAGCAGAAGCATATATGCAAACAGTTTTCCAAGTTACATAGAAACTTGGTTAATTTGTAGCTTCAAGTTACTCAATACATGGAAAAAGATCATCACGTTAAGTTCCTTACATAGTCATTCCAACCAGCAAGCCAAATAAAACGAGTATTTAGTAAGCTACGACGCCAATTTCCCATCCACAGCGATCGATAGTATCAGTGCTCAGCACTCAACAGAGTAGGGGTGGTAAGGATCATGATAGCCAAACGCAAATTCTCCTAGGTATGGATGCAGCACATGGGAGCGACGATAGCACATTTCAGACTTTCCCCACATTGTTATGTCCACACGCAAACAAGCCGACAGTAGCATGTCTTGCAAATGGAATCAACTGCAGAAAGCCAGGCAATATATTAAAAAAATATAGATTTGGCACCCACTGTTGGATCCACTCCCAAGGCTTTATCGTATGAAAACCCACTCTACTATTCAAGAGGAAATGCCTTTAACAAACTAAATATTTTAATCAAGTTTTTTCCTTGATGTGGAAGAAAATGTTAGACAGGTGATTCACTTGTTATCTTTAACATTGATACATATTGCTGATAGCATAAAGGACAAAGATTGCTCCTGCAGACCACAAGAATGCCCTCTGCGAATGAAGATCTAGCGATATGAAAATTGCAATTTGTAAACTCAAACCAAGCAGGGAATACTATCGTATAAAAGAGCAAATGGCGTTGAATGGTTTCTAATATATATTTCATTGCTGCAAGTACAATATGCTTCAAAGAAATTGCAGGGTGCACTCAGAAAGGAAATTAAACTGCAGGCAGGAAGATGATACAGGCAGAAGTTTACTTCCCTAACGGCACATGTGTGATCTTCCTCATCTTTATTCCTCTTTCCACAAGGAAAGCTGGACAACGCATTTTGCGGGACGAACCATAGGAGTGGGCACATATACCCGCTTCTCTTCAAAACTAATTTATCGCGCTACCATGCTCTCCCTGATCATATCATCCTCCAAGAAGACAGCATGCCTTGTTTCTACAAACTTCGTTTGTCTGTCAGAACAATAGAAGCGATAGCCTTTTGACTTTTCTGGATAGCCAAGAAATGACAATTGACTGTCTTGGAGTCTAGCTTCCCTATGTTTGGGTTAAATAGCTTTGCCTCAGCTGGACAACCCCACACACGTAAATAGTTTAGTGAGGGTTCCTTTCCTGTCCATAACTCATACGGTGTTTTGGGCACCGACTTACTTGGCACTCGATTAAGTATATGAATGGCAGTTTTTAACGCCTCCATCCATAAACTTATCGTCTTTCAGCTACTCCATTCTGTTGAGGCTCGCCCGTTGTCGAATACTGGGCTACTATGCCATTTTCTTGTAAGAACCTTGCAAGGGTCCAGGAACTTGGCCATATGGGGTGTGTCGACCATAGTACTCTCCCCCACGGTCGGACCTTACTACCTTAATCTTTAAGTTGTGCTGATTTCCTACTTCAGCCTTCAATATCTTAAATTTATTCAATGCTTCCGATCTTTCTTTAATTGAATAAATATAGCCAAAACGAGAATAGTCATATGAGAATGTTATAAATGAATCATAACCATCCACACTCTTCATAGGAAAAGGACCACAGATGTCTGTGTGAACTATTTGTAAAATTCCTGCGCTTCGTTTGCATGCACCATGCAAAGTTAGCACGCAGGCACAAGCAAAGGCCTCAGCAGCATGCACGCGGTTCGTACTCGCATGCATGCCGACCATCACACTACGAGCCACCGGCCATGTATGCCGAGAATCCACCCCCCCCATGCATGCTGAGTGCAACAGCGAGACCATTAATGGCGAGAAGCTGAGCACCGGTGGCACAGCTCCTCCCCGACCGCAAGTAGCGAAGTATGAACCTAAAAAGAATGGAGGTGACCAAATTTGAACTAACTTTTTCAACGCCTTGGAACCGTAGACCATGTCTTTAAGCTTTTGTATGGTCCTGACAAAGTAGAAGGCAATTCATGAGGTTCACATCACGCTATCTCTGCCACGTCTTTAAAACCACACCTTCTATCTCATTGATTAAATTTAAAATTGTCTAACATATTGAAAAGTGAGAATTATATTCATTTTAGGATGGAGACAGTACTTAAGTGTTAACACTTAAAATTGTCCGCGAATAAAGTTTTATAGTCCACTAAAAGCATGGTAAAGGCCCGCCAAAAACACACGGTAAAGATGAAGCAATAAATGGTGGTCCCCGCAGAATTTATACAAGGAGTGCAATAGATTGAACGTGCAAAGTATATAGAACAAGATGGCGGGTGCCTCCCAAAACTATCCAGAAATTCACTCAGTAAATTTGAAAGCACTGGACATCTTCAACTACGTAGGGTGGGTCGAAAGCAGGTGGACACATTTAATGCCTCCCCTCCATGGTACCATCACATAAAAACAAGTCGGGCAGGTGGACACATTTAATGCCACTCCTCCTTACCATCAGATAAAAACAATTCACCGACCATGCAAGAACATTTGTACTTACACATGCATCCATGCATCTAAGAGATGGCTTGGGTTGTGTGCATGTTGCTCCTGAGGTGTTTGGTGGTTGGGGTTGGTCGCCATTAATACGGCTCCCTAGCCAGTGCAGGTTCAACTTCCCAGCCGTGCAGCGTCCCATCATCCCTTAGCACCTCTGTGTCCACCTCACCATGGCAAACATCAGGGCGATCGCTGTGGACTATGGCCGAAGATCTGCTGCCTTCCTTGCACCGCTCGTGTGCCCTACACTACCCGCAACACCATCGGCATAAATGAGGAAATAAAGCTTCGGAACCTATTTCTAAACTAAAACTTGACAACAAATTCTTTTCAAAAAGTTTGGACGTTGCATGCGAAGTTATATAAGTAGCCCTATTACTATGGTTATGTATCCAGGATAGATGACACTCTGCTGACTTAGGTAGGCTTAATCAAGTTCTCTATAGGTACACTGACCCCTAGAATAGTCCGATAGTATCGACTAGCTATAGGGAGAGATCGATGTGCCAAAAATGTAAGAACGGTTGCCCTATATGTTGGCAACAGTAGAAGGACGTATAGGACGTGCATTCATGCATATCCTGTTTGTGTATTGTAGTGCCCGTATTGCTTATAGATACGCCATCCATAGGTGTCACGCGTGTCGTATGGTGCATGCCTGACTTATTCCTATTCTGGAGTTAATGCTAAATTGTGGCTTTGTGCTTCACGTCGCCTGTGGTTCACGCCTGTCGTGACCCACGTATCCTCGTACTCTTTTTTCTAGGCTCTTGTTGGAACATTGTCTTGCAGCCGTGTTAGTAATTAATGGCCTCGGACATCACTCGCCTCGAATGCGTGAAAAATTCGTTCAATTCATTTATAGTGATCTCATGCTGGAACCTTTATAAGAAGGGTCTGGCTTAGTTGTTGGTACCACCACCCGGTGCACTTTAGATCACCTAGCTTTTCCTTTTGAGCTAGCTTTTCGCTCAGTCCTTCCTTGCAACCACCGCCAGCGATGGTAGGAGCCTGGGTTAGTAGTTACTGCCTGAACACTGAGGGTTTTCCCAAGATCCTATATGCCACCCTGCAAAAGCTCGGAGTCAAAGATTGTCCCGAGTATGAGGGCCGTGAGTATGAAAATCATGGCACTGAGCGGTATGAAGTTACCGTCTACATTGGAAAGAGTGAAGAGTTCCCCGACATCACTAGAGCCTAGAATGTGACGGCAACTGGGTTTCGCTTCGTCGACACCTACCAGGTTATGGCCCGCAAAGCCTTGCGGTACCTTTGCCCGATATATGAAGAGCCCATTGCCCGTACCCCCATGAGGTTCTTTCCACCTTTGGAAAAGAATCGATGGGCATGGAGGGATCGCATGGAGGCTTTGCAAGGGCGGGATGCGCAAGAAGATAGTCCTACCGCGGTGCACTTGACCATGTACCTGCTTGCTCTAGATGAGCAGTATGACCGGCAAGCCTCGG